TGTAAGATACAACTTGGAATCTGATTGGAATATAATAGGCTTCACTGATCTGACAAAAAATATTGGTACATTCTTCTATATAAGCTGCTTTAAGCATTAAGCTCTATACTGTTTTGTCTTTGCATTACAATTTGCTCCTAGGATAAGAAATTAAAGATGTCAACAAGACCCGTATTGTTACATTGTTCATCAAAATGCTGTGCAAACCAATTTATCTTCAGATAATAACTGTCGAGATCAATATTTGTAGAAAAAAAAAAAACGTAGACTCAGAATCTCAAGAATCTAATGCATCATAGGACAATGGGTGAACTGGACTGATATAAAGTGATGATTGCTGGCTAAGATCACACAGAGTGCCAAAAGTTCAAAGGAGTAGTGACAAACTGATCTAACTTCAATGGTGAGCCTTGAGCAGATCTATAAAATTGGAAGTGAATGCATAAATTTGTGATTAATTCAAATTATTATTGAAAAAAGTTCTCTAAAGTTGACTTCAAGTAGTTGTTAAAAGAGTTTGAATTTTGTAGTTATGGTTTTACATAATTCCTCTTCCAATTTCTGCTTTGCAGCATAATAATTTGGTATCTATTTTTCATATCAAGGCAATGAGTTCCGACATGGTATATCCTAAACTGTTTTGGAACCAATATGCAAGTGGAATTCTCAAATGGTTGTTGAAGTGCTTGTTCTTTTGTTTCAACTTCTATTACAAAAGAAAATTGTTTTTATTTAATCCCTGTACGAATTATTGTAGAGTTGAAGAGTGTAAACCGCTCCCAAGGCATGATTCGATAGCAGGTTTGATGCCTTTTTGGATTTTGTTAGCTTTTCAGATATTGCAGAAGCTACACTCTTTTCCAATTGACAATTAGTGGTGAAGACTATAGATGCTTGACTGTCTTTTGTAGTTTATAGCATTGCCTGCACCTTAGTACAAATGACTTGTTGATGACTTATGACTTATAATTACTGCACCTTTATCATTTGGCTTTTTGCAAGTTCATTTATCTCTACTTTGTGCTGCATGTTAAATTGTCTCGGTAAGAGGAAAATATGATGTTGTTTTTATCTTAGTCCTTTTTTAGTTTAAAACTTGAGAAATCTATTTGGATGCTCTTTATTCAAGCAACTGTTAAACACACCACATCCTGATTATCATCACCTGTCTTGAAATATTGTGTGCACCTTGTTGGTAGCATCTTGTTTCTGTTGCAAGCTTTTTTTAATGGTTTTGGGACTTATATCCATGTGAAGATAGATATCATATTCTTCCTCTTTCTAGATTCTCTTGGAGCTGTGAATTTTTTCCCCTTAGCTGCACTGTATTTTTGTTGTTCAAACAGTGTATCATCATTCTATTTCCTTCATTATATCAAATATGACTGTTTCAATCACAAAATCAGTTTCTGTGGTAATATTGGGTCAAAACTATATCCTTTCTTTTGCATTTTGTCTTTACATGAACTTAAAATTGTAAGTAATGATGTCTTAGTTGTGGCTACCAGTTAGAAATTTCATGTATTATTTCGTGAATTTTCTGATGTCCAATTTCCTAAACTAGGAAGCTGTGAAAGAAATTATGGAAAAGCTACCTTATATGAAAGAGCTTATGGATGTTTACTGTGGACCTGATAGAGTTACTGCTAAGCAACAACAGCAAGAGTTGGAAAGAGTGGCAAAAACTCTTCCAGAGAATGCAGCTTCTTCCGTGAAGAGGTTTACTGAGCGAGCACTTCTCTCTCTGCAGGTTGTCTTCATATTCATAAGTCTTTATGTTTCAATCTGGACCATGATTTTTACACGTATAAAGCCTTTTTTTTTAATAGAACAAGCAGTCAATGCATATATTTGCTTTAGATGTTTCAGTACACTACATTTTGTTTCACTCTCTACTATTTAAAATTCTTGACTTTCATGTAGAACTATTTTTGTTTTATTTTTAGGAAAACCCATGCAAAATTCTAATAATCAGTATTTTGATTCTGTAAAAGACTTAAGTAGCAACTCTGATGAAGACATTACATTAGTTTCTGACGAATTGAAGGACTCAGATGTTTTTCTGATATTGTTAAGGAAAAAACCCATGTAAAAATGTTGCAATTCTTGGGATCAACTATCTTTCTTTGGCATGCACAACCCGTCTATACATCCAGCAAGACTCTGTAGTATCATTTATGGACACTTAATTGGATATTGTTGACTGTCAGAATGCAAATGGTCCAAGGGATGGGCCTATTATCTTAATTTAGAGGTTGCTTGGATCCTTATAGCTTGCATACCAGGATAATAGATTATTTATGGATCTAGTTATTTGACATCCATAAATTAAATCGTGGTTGTTTGGATCTTTGTTATCTTGTTTGGTTGTTTGCATTAGATACAAGTTAGTGCATTGGCAAATGCCTCATATGGGGTTAATGCAGGAACTGTACAGCCAGAACCTGCATCCATATAACTGCATGCCTGTATGCAGGATCCAAAGAGCCCTAGTATATAAGACAGGGTGTCACTGCTTCTACTAAAAAGAAAAAGCAAGCAGATGCAAACAAGTTGAAAGTCATATTCTTTTTCTGAAGAGTGAATTCATCTATTTTATTGTCTAGAATATATCAGATTGATGCCTTGAGGAATAGATACTAACCCTTACCGCTGTTAAATTTGATGCTAGTCCCTTTCGGAAGGATTTTTATAGTTTATACTAAATACAATTAATCTTTTAACTCTCTACATTCCTCTTTAACTCTTCATTATCGTATGAGACTGCAAAAATGTTATTCATTACCATTTACAATGTGTCACAAATATACTTTTCCTATGAGTTGTTTGTAATGACAAAAATGCTGGAAAAGATATGATTTAGTTCTTCTCTTTGACATCTAGAGATGTTATGAAACTCACTTGTAGAGATTTTTTATGCAGTGGTTTTGTGTACCTGAGTCCTTGACCAACAAGAAAAAGTAAATTACTCTATTCTTTAGAATTGCTCTAGAACCAAATTCAGGAGCATAGTGAAAATATTTGCTATATCCTTTTCAGAATACTGCTCCAAGCTCAGCTTAATCATAGGTTGGTTTATTGAAATGTGTGCAGTTGTAGAATGTTTCTACTACACTGCATCTTAGTTATGCTTTAGGGTTTAAAAAAATCAAAACCCCAATTTCCCGGAACCTTAGCAATAGGCGAGGCTCTGGAGCGATGGTTCTCAATCCCATTAACAATAGTGAGAGGCAAGACTGGTGTCACAGACTGGAGTGGTCTGTCTCTGGTCTCTTTCTGCTGGTGAGAGATCATGTTAGCTGATGCTTGCCTAATCTCCCTCCATGCAGCCTTTTCCCCAAATTTGTCTTTTTTGGGAGTAAGGCTTAGAGTCACTTCATGTTGCTTCGCTTGTGCAGCTCACAGATATTATTTAGTGTATTTTTTGACATTTAAAGCTGCTGGAGTTGAATCTATTTCTTGTTCATTGCTAACTTGATTAGGCACCTTAAATTTCTGCTTGCTTGTTACCTAACAAAAAAAATATGCTTGTACAATTTAATCTTTATCAAATTTAAATATCAGAATAGCCAATAAAGTCATATTCAATGGGTTACTTACTTTTCTTGATTTATAATTTTATTCTGGGTTTGATAAAGACAATGGAGAAGTAAAAATTCTTTGGTTTGGCGATTCATAATTTTCTAGGTTTGGCGATTGGACATTCATTGTTGGTTCCATTATGCAGTTCAATTAAAAACAGTTCAATTCCTTTTATTGCTTCATTAAATATCTTGATTTCAGTTGTAACTGATGTGAGAGTCATTCCTGATTATTGATCTCTTGGCCATCTTTTGCAGAGCAACCCGGGCTGGGGTTTCGACAAGAAATGCCAGTTCATGAACAAGCTTGTCTGGGAGGTATCACAGTATTACAAGTAGCGACTGGATACCTATGTGACATGGTCTCTGCTGAAGTGTCCTCTTTTTCTTTAGTAAATCAAAGAAGCTTTTGTGGAAGCTGAGAGGAGTTGAGATTTCTGATCAACATACATGATGCATCTGATATGCCATGCTATTTAGCACCTTTTCTTTCAATCTTTTGAATAAATGTCTTCCTACTAGCTTGTGTGGACTGAAAAGGTCTGTTTAATTATCTGAAGACGACAAATAGGAGGTTTGCCGTTTTCCTGTGCTGATCTGACATTTTTAGTTTAAACAGGAGTTCATGCAATCACTGATGAGGGTGTTGTGGGTTTTTTGTTGCATGATTAAAATGGTACGTGTGTGCTAGCTGGATGCAGAAGATTTCTTCACAATAGACCCATTCTAATTTTGTGAAGCAATTGTTACTCACTTTGAAGGAATCTGTGCAACATTTGCAGCTTTACTTGTTGATGTTCTGGACAGCCTCACTTATCTGTGTCAAATCCTTATCACAATTGAGGACAGTCCTAATTATTTAGTGCCATTTATTGATTTTAATTACGTACACAGAGAAGGAAATAGGAGGGTCAATTTATTAGTTCTGCTAAGATCCTTAAGTTAGGCTGTGAGCTCCAAATATTAGTTCTGCTCCTATGATAGTGGCAAACCATGTGTGCTTGGATCCCTTCAAGAGAGTAGTACCCACACCCCCCCACCCTTTTTTTTTTTGAGACTCCAATTTATGTTAACGTAACTACTGGACATCACTGAGGATCAAATAATTCGTTAAAAATAATACATTTTATATTGTCCAAAATTCCAATAAAATTTTTAGTTCAAATGTGACCATGATTAGTAGTTAAAAATAATGAATTTTATTTTTTTTAAGTTTCATTTATGAAGATATCTAGAGGGAAATTAAAAGAAAATCAAAGAATATATATGCATTATTAAATTTGGAAGGGGCAAGAATGATATTTTCAAGCTCTGTAAGGATGGAAATGTAAAAGCCTTTTTTCTTTTTCATTTTAAGGGGGCCTGGTCCACAAAGAAGCGAATCGGTTTAAATCGGAATCCGATTTACCTCGACCGATTCGGCCGCAAGATAACGTTCTTTGAAACCCCCTCTCGGTTATCTTCTTCCCCTCTTCCTTTCTCGAGCATTTCCACGCTCCCCGCTCCTCAATGTTTTCTTCCCCCATTCTCCCCCTTCCTCCCCTTCCCTCTCCTTCCTTCCTCTCCCATCGCACTGTAAGTATCTTGGCTTTCTCCCTCTCTCACTCATCTCTCATCTTCTCCTTTTCTTGTGGGGTTTCCTGAAACCTCTTCCTCTTCTTATCTCATCAATCTCAGCAGCTTAAGAACGGAGACAATGCCTTCTTTGTCCCCCTTGGCAACAACAGCAGCACCAGCAGCAGAAAGGGAAGGAGGAGGGTTGTCACCGTCAGCAGAGCTTCCACCGCTCCCGTTCTCCCATTCAAGTTCTTCGAGCCGCCTAAGGCCGAGGAGAGTTCCCTGCTCTCTGAGGTGTGACTCCTCGTGCTGTCTCAAATTTTCTGGAGGTTTTGTTTGTTGTGGTTCAGTTTTGGTGCCTGGATCGTGCAGTTGGAGCCCGCCGACCCTGACTTCTATAAGATCGGGTATGTGAGGAGCATGCGTGCTTATGGCGTTGAGTTCATGGAAGGACCTAATGGGTTCGGAGTGTACGCGTCCAAGGACGTCGAGCCGCTGCGACGAGCTAGGGTGAGTTGCGTTAGCCTCCTGAAAAGGTTTCCCTTTTCAGTGTTTGAGTGTCATTTTCTTGGTTTTTCATCTAATTGGTGGACATTGTCTGATAGATTGTTGTAAACACTGTTTGTTTCTTGATCTTTTTCTAACGCGTCAAGATTTCTTGATGCAATTTTTTGTTTATAATCTTTGTTTGTTCCTTGATTTATTTCTAATGCGTAAAGATTTTTTGATACAATTTTTTTGTTTGTTGACAATTGTTTATATATTGTACAGACTCTGACAAATCAAGTGAAGGATTTACCAATTGATTAAGACAATATTCCTCTTAGGCTCTTACCAACTATTACAGATTTCTTAAATAGTGAGAAAATAATGTGAATACATCTTGTATACATTAGACAACACATTATCTAGAAATTATACATGTGCCTGTTTATACTCATTGAAGAATCAATGAGAATGAACTATTCTTCCAACTCATCTCCACATAGTATTAGAGCATCCAAAGCAGTGCACAGTATACTCTTTTCTGCGTACTATTGCTACGCCACCTTCTTGGACATTGTTCTTAAAGGATGTGACATGTGTTGAAGATACCTCATCCTCCCAGTCCTTGTCGTCTTAATGTGGATGGTCTTCACACTCCAATTATATTTGTGGACACTATCTGTCCATGCATTCCATGAAGCACCTTGCAGAATCAGTTCCTAAAATTTTGGATTGTTTCAATAAAGTTTGTGATGTTTATCCTTTGACCAAACAAATTAGACTTCCTTTTGGATTAAGTTCAAATTCTACTACTGAACTATTTGAAATGGTTCATTATGATAGTTGGGGAGCTTTTCGATATTCTTTTTATTTAAATGCTCATTATTTTTGACCATCGTGGAAGATCTTTCTAGTAATGCATGGATATATCTCATGCATTTTTATTACAACTCGAAACCTTATTAGAATTTAAACTCAATTTGATCGAAAGGTTAGATAAACTCAAGTAGATAATAGAATTGAGTCTTATTTTATGGGAGATTTCTTCAGTGAACATGGAATTATTTATAAGCATAGTTGAGTTTTCACTCCCTAACAAATAGGGAGGCCTTAGAATGTAGATACTGTCTTGCTGTAGCCCAGGCCTTGAGATTTCAGTCAAAACTTTCATTACCTTTTGGAAAGTGAGTCTGCTCACTAGATCTTACCTCATGAGCTCTTGTCGGCATCTCTTCTCCATAGAAAAATACCATATGAAGTTCTTCATAAACAGTCACCTACTTATAATCATTTGTGAGTGTTTGTTTATGTTTTGAAAATGTACTTTTGTTGGATATCATTTGGATCAAATGGCTTATAAAGCCTATGATTTTGAGGCTAAATATATTTTCACAAGCCGAGATGCTATTTTCCATGAACATATTTCCTTTTTTGATGGTGAAATGAAACAATAACACTAGATTGTAAGTTATGCCATTATCATTGTCTGACCAAGTTATCATTTGTGACTTACAAGCCTTTAAGGGGCATACCTATTCAAACATTTTAACTTGCATAAAGAATGATGGCATTTTTGTTGAGGAATCCATTCCATCTATCTCATCTCAGCTAAGTTCAAATCAGCCAACCTATGCTAAGATGATCAGGTTGCATTGGTCTACCATCAGTTTGGCTATGAGATTCCCATTGTTCCCATACCATGTTGTTATTCCCAAGCTCAACATCATCTTCAATGCTGACGTCTGGTAAGGGTACTTTTGATCCTTTAAATGTTTTATTTCTTATAAAAATCTTTCCCTTTCACCATTCCTTTGTTGTCAGCATCTCTATTTCTATTCAACCCAACACAATTTGCTTAGGCCGAGAAAAAAAATCCAAGTGGCAATATACCATGACTTAAAAACTTCAAGCATCGGAAGAAAAGGATGTTACTTGTTTGCCTGAAGGAAAAATGCTCATTGGTTGCAAATAGTCTATAAGATCAAGTATACATCTGATTGTTTCATTGAACATTAGAAGGTCATATGGATTGCCATGGTCTACACATAAGTTGAAGGATTGGATTACAATGGGACATTTGCACTAATTGCCAAACTAGTTACCATTAATGCTTGTTTGCTATAGCTTCTGTAAGATGCTGGTCTCTTTATTAACTTAATGTTCAAAATGCTTTTCTTTATGGTGAAATCTCCGTTGCAATATAGAAGACTTGCAGACTTGTTGGCCGACTTATTCATCTTACAATCACAAGGCCAAATATAACTTCTTCGATGCACTTCTTAGTAAATTTATGCACCGGATTCTTACACCACACTTTGTCATAGCGATTCGATTTTTGTGACAACTTTTTTGATGCACCTTCTTACTAAATTTATACACCAACTTCGTATACCACATTTTATTCATCTTACAATCACAACCATATATAACTTCTTCGCTGCACCTTGTTAGTAAATTTATGCACTAGCTTCGCATACCACATTTTGTCATAGCGATTCGATTTTTGTGATATTTAAGTGTCTATTGTTTCCAACAAAGAATGACATAAATTTAACTGGGTATGATGATGCTGAGTGGGGAGGTTGCTTTGTTACAAGATCACTTTTCGGGTATTGTGTTTTCCTGGGACTTCATCATTTGGAAGATAAAGAAACAATTAAAAAGTGTTTTGTTCTTTGACAGAAGTAGAATACATAACTATGCCAACGATTACTTATGAATTTATTTGGTTGGTACATCTTTTACAAGATTTATAAGTTAACATTTTGGGTCTTGCCAAGTTACACTGTCATGATCAGGTGGCATTACCTCTTGTAGCAAACCCTGTCTTTCATGTACACATGAAACATATTGAAATGTTGGTTCGAGAAAAAAACACAAAACTATCAGATTATACTACTTTTGTTGCTTTTAGTCCATCACACACTTAAATTGCAGATATTTTACTAAAGTACTCCGAAAGACACTTTCATTCTTATATAATGTGAACACCATGTGAATTGGTACATGTGCTTATTTATACTTATTGAAAAAATTAATGAAAATGATCATACTCCCAAGTCATCTCTTTTTCCACAGTTTATTTATCTGAGTTGTTCTAATATTGGAGAATTCTTGTTGGTTTCTTGAATCTATGGGTAGGGACGTTTTCCTTCTCTTGTGCTGTAAAATTTTGGAGATTTCTTCTGGCCAGTTTATCCAGGTTCATGTTTCCTTTTCAATTTTGTAAATTAAAACAGGTGGGATTTCCACTTTTTCCTTCAAAAGGAAAAAAAAAGTGTCACTAAGATTTTTGTTCAAGGAGGCAACCTATTCTGACAGAAAATAATTGGTAGATGAAATCATAATTCCAGTGCCCTTGGTTGCTGTAAATGGTGCTTGATATTAAGCATATTTGTTAGCTTTCCCTTCTTTATGTTTCCTAGAATTTTTTGGTAATAACAAATTGTTCCTTTTAATGATGTTAGATTCTATATTTATTTCCAGGTTATAATGGAAATACCGTTGGAGCTGATGTTGACTATAAGCCAGAAGCTTCCATGGATGTTTTTCCCTGACATAATACCTGTTGGTCATCCAATATTTGATATTATCAACTCCACAAAACCTGAGGTAACTGAAATGACTTGACAGGTTCATGTATGTTCGCTCCAAAGAATGACTTCTAACTCTGTCTATATATTTAGTGTTGTATATCTCCAGTAAATATATAGCTATTGCGAAACAATGATGTCTTTCATCACTAGTAAAATAGTACCTTGCACCATTAACATTTAAAATTTTAAAACATTATGCATTAAGTATATACAATGATTCTTTAAAAAAAAGAAGTATATACAATGATGATAAGCTCTACTTTCTGTCATGTCAGAGGCCAAACTTATATATTAGAAGCAAGGATTACAATTTCGAATAATACCGTCCATACCGAGCGGTACGTACCGGTCCGTCAGCAGACCGATACACGGATCGCCTACTACCAAGCGGTATATATATATATATATATATATACCGAACGGTATACTGTTCGGTATATAGTTACCGAGCGAATGTCAAAATTCTGGTACGGTACGATATTTCAATCCTTGATTAGAAGTATTGCATAAGTACTTCAAAAATTTGATAGAGAGGCTAAAGATGTATTATGAACTCTAGAAAAAGATAGGCTCTACTTTCTGTTGTTAAACTATGGAGATTAATCACAATAGTGGAATAGTTATTTTAAACAGTGCAATTAACCAAGACTATTTTCTCTTGTTACAACAGATTTGTAAGACATTTGAAGTCAGTTTCAGAGATTTCTACATGAACACTGCTATTCTCTTATTGTGAACATTTGTTGGTCTCCTAAAAGAAAATTCTCCATATATTCTAGACGACGAACAAAATTGAATAAGAATCATAATTTATCTATAAAAGCGATTGTGGGGTATATGAAAGACTGACAATTTTTTTTGGAGGTCTTTTGTCATGCTGGCTTATAATTTTACATGCTATATCTATTGCATTGTAATTAAATTCTGACACCAGTCAGAAGTGAGCAAAAATTAAATAAACCTAATTTTCTGATTGTTGATTCATCTCTCATCACTTAAGTGAGATTTTTAACCTAGTCCTGTAGATTAAAATTTCTGCGAGGAAAATTCACAATGATTCTCTTCATTTTGTTTCAGAATCTGCTTTCCTTTAACTCCACATATTTAGTATTTTAGTTTATTGTATCTATTCCTTATTTTTGTTGATTCTCCAAAAATGTACTAATGATGAACACAATGTTCTTGTTTACTGTCGGTGATTTTGACATTAATGTTAGATTAGTATAAGATTTTGTTTTTTACTCTACTGTGCTTGATTTGCAGACAGATTGGGACCTAAGATTGGCCTGTCTTCTTCTATATTCATTTGATGTGGAGGGCAACTTTTGGCAGCTCTATGGTGACTTTTTACCAAGTCCAGAAGAATGTACAAGCTTGCTTTTGGCACATAAGGTATGTGTCACTGCAACTGATGGATTCTGGTATCAATGGATCATATATTCTGTACATTAGATTATTCTTCTTAAATTACTTTGTGTACATCCCTCAATATCTTGATTTTATATACATATCCTTGCAAATTTAAAAATTATAAATATGCTTCTGAGTTTAGTTACTGTCATTTGAAATTTTGCTTGCTAGAAAACTTCTTTTAGTGATTAAATGAGAAAAAATAACCTTTCTCCAAAGTGCCTTTTGTGTGAAATGGTGTACACAATCAAATCAAGGAAAAATTCAGAGATTAAGGTGGGCTAGAGATTCTCGAGTGTTAGTGGTTATGGTGGATTCGAGTTAAGTTGGATCTGTCCTATTTTAAAAATGTCCTTGAGTCATGCCCTTAGGTCTGTCCTATTTCAAAAATATCCTTGCACTGTCAGTGATAGCCTAAGTAGAGGATTGGTGGTGGTAAAGGAGAAGATGGATGAATAAGAGTTAGGTTTACTTTGACGTAGGGATTGTTTTCTTGTTCTCCTTTCTTTTCTTTGGGTTTTGAGAGATGTTGAGGTTTGGGGGGGTGTGAACAAGGATGAGATGAATGAAAGGGAGAGGGTAAGTAAAAGGTTATCTTAGATCCTTTGGTAGTTTGAAGATGGTGAAGGAGGATTCTGTGCAGGGCTTATGATGAAGGAGAAGGGTCACAGAAGAGGGGAGAAGGAAGAAGATTAGGGGTCCTTTGATGATCCTATAATTTTTTTGGATATGCATGTAAAAGTCAACTTTTCAAGGGGTATGACTAATTGACTATCACTCCCTTGTAGATGGATATATATGAAAATATCCCCTTTGCTCCCAGATACAAATACAAAGAAAATGGCTGCTTGTTGTTCTTGTCATTGTTACTGTCATCTTGTAGATCCATATAACATGATCTGTATAGCTATCCACCCTTAACTTGAATTCGATATCTTATTGGTGGTGGGAAGAGAGATAGAGTAAGACCCAAGAAGACTTCACTCGAAACAATAAAAAGAGATTTGAATGCTCTTGATTTTACTAGAAATATTACATTGTGCAGATTTCAATGGTGCAAAAAGATCCATGTGACCCCAAATAGTTGGGACATTACATTTTTGTTGTCATTGTTGTATCAATTTTGATTTTGGATCTAGACGGCCATCTGAACTAGATCTAATGATTTGCTTGTGCATATGAAGAGGCTTACTGGCAGCCCAGTCAGATATGACTGAAGGCCTATTTTAGATGCTGAATCATAACCTTTGGCTGCAGCATATTTCAACTTGATCATACACAAAATGCAGGCTGGTGGTTAATTTTGTTTCACAAGATTTCACATATACTTATGAACTCCAGTAAATTGCTTGATTGTGGCTTTCCATCACATTTCTTGATGACATTTATATAAATTTTTTTTTTGAGAAAAATTAGAAGCTTTCATTTATTGAAGATATATGCTAAGGGGATTAGGCGAAGAGCCTCTCTCCTCAGTCATACAAAAAGAAGAGAATCTGGTTGTTCTAGCAAAATTAGTTAGATCATGATATTTACAATTAGAGCTCCTAGACATGTGACTATGATGAACAACATTAAGCTTTTCAATCAAGAACTTAATATTTGCAATGATGGTATTGATATGCCAACGAACAGCAGCAGTAGAAGTGATGAAATTGATAGCATGTAAGGCATTCATGCGAATAAAAATATTTCTCCACTGATGGGATTCTGCTTGTTTGAGCGATTTAAGAAGAGTTAGCGCTTCAGACATAACAAGATATGAAGCTTGGTAGGGAGCAGCCGATAGCAACAAGTTTGTCTTGAGCATTGAAGAAGACATATCCCAAGCCTGCAGTAAGATTAGAAGAACAAAAAGAACCATCACATTCCAAAACATAATCAAAAGTAACCATAGTTATAGAAGATGACACAGGAGCAACAACATTAGTTCCTTCAGAAGTAGGATATATATAAAATAATAATTCATGAGTGCAAGTGCCTTGTTGATTAAGGAAATAGGTTTGGATTGATGATTACGAAATTTGACATTATTCTTATTTAAACAAAGACACCAAAGATAGTAAGAAATGAGACTTAGGATCCATTTAGAAGTGATTTTGTCGGTATCCTTACCCTCTTCTAACCAAGACCCAAGGTACCAATTGTCAAAATACTTAAAATTAAGGTTGGCTTTCTCTTGAAGAATAGAGCAAAAATATTAGAGAATGAACACTCAGAAAATATGTTTAGGAGAATCAATGTAAAGATTACAATCAGGACAACATTCAACTTGGCTGTGCAAGATATGAGAAATTAGATTAGAAGTGGGGAGTATATTCCAACAAAGTTTCCACAAAAGAGTTTAATTTTAGGAGTTATAACAAGCTGCCAAATTTCCTTTCAATCGGGCCAAACTTCAACCTTAACTTCTAAGCCAAATTTCAAACTTTGATAAGCACTACTCACAGAAGTACCCAATGGATTGTATGTCATAAGTGGGGACTCTAGGGATTTGAATCTTCTTAATACTTTCAAAGTTTCAACTAGTGAAGGATGAAAAAGGAAATAGAGTTTACAATCATCCCAACGATTACGGAGGATAAGATCAGAGACCATCTGAAAGTCATTCAGTGCAAACACATTAATCAAAGCGGGTCATCTATTTATGGTAATATTCTAATCCATAGATCAGACCAGATATCTGGAGATGTACCATCACCAATCAATTTCATAAATCCTTATTTAATTAAGTCAATAAGAGTGCAAATATTTCTTCTAGATCTAGAAATAGGAGGGATCATCCCAAGGATGTAAGTGACTGTATTTGGCATTTTGAATGCTAACCCAAAGCGAATTGGAATTATTCAAAAGTGGTAAAATTCGTTCAACACATATAGATTTTTTTGGTAGTGAGAAGATCTCTCAATCCCAAGGCCCCATATTTCTTAGGTCTTGAGATGGTGTCCCGACTATGAGCTTCTTCTTCTTTTTGGCGAGATCTAAATTGCAAAAGAAATAACTGGAAAGCTTGGTCATATGATTCAGGATAGAATCATAAATAAAACAATTAAGAAGGAGATGAGTGGGCATAGAATTAAGAACAAAATTTGTTAGAACCATCTTCCTGGCTTGGGAGATAAGCCCTTTATACCAACATTGAATTCTAGATAGAGCCTTATCCACTAGGATGTTTTGGAAATTTTGAGGGAGGCGACCTTACGATAAGTAGGCACCGAGGTACTTTATAGGGCATGACCCCTCCTTAATACCTAGAGTACAACAAATAGAATGTCTGGTGGAGGGTGGACAATGTCTTGAAAAGTAGACGTTTGATTTGGAGAGATTGACTTTTAAATTAGTAAGTTGTTCATAAAGGTTAAGGACGTTGAGATAATGTTGCAAGACTTGTTAGCACAAAAGGCCAAAAGCAGGTCGTCAACAAACATTAAGTGTGAAATCATAATGCCTTTTAGATTGAATGGGATAATATCCTTTTGGTTAACATGTTTGTTAAATAAAGAGGATAAAATCTGTTGATCTAGTATGAAGATATGTGGAGATAAGAGGGTCTCCTCGTCTAATGCTGGCTTCACACCTTTAAGAGAGACAACCACTAATGAGGCAGCCATTATAATTAGTTTTTAGATGAGTGTAAAGCTCTCAAAATATATGAAGGTTCATCCTTGTTAACTAAAAAAACTATGGTTTATACTTTATGTTGTATACCATGATGCCATCATTACTGTGGGAACTTGTTGATCAAAGATGAACGTTCGTCTTTTCTAAGTAAAAGCAAACAGCCAACTTCCCATATTAATATATCTTGAATGATCAAGGATCGTATAATAGTTTAAGTTGAAAGTGTTGAAGCTTCGAAGTTACTAATTTCAAGTTTCTTATTTGTCCCTTCCATTGGAAAGTTGTTTTTGTTGCTTCACCCCAAGGTTCGCAATTTCGGTCCATATCGGCATAACAAGCCTCGCTCGGTACAGTATGTACCGAGGTGTATCAATGGTACGTTAGGGCGTACTGAGCGGTATACCTAAAATAGCATAAAATCCTTCGAAAATACTTAAAAAATAGAAAAAAAAGTTTAGGATAGCGTATTTAAATTAGAAATAAATATACATTTAGTATAGTTTTAAAAAAACTAATGTAAATTAGGTAAGAATAGTGTCATATATCTTTTTTCGGGCTTTGAGGAGTAGCCTTGTGTAAGGTTTGCAATTTCAGTCTGTTTCGGAATGTCTTTCCGTCGATATTGAATTAACATATGATCCAATCCTTAATATGCATGAAATATAAACATTTGACCTATTAAGTTTCTAATTTCAAATAAATAAATATTAAACACACTAATCATAACATTAAAGACTTTAATTATTCCGTAATTAATTCTATTCCACCATCAAAAGCATATCAAACAACATATTAGACATTAAGTCATATATCACATAGAATAGGCTTAATTATCTCATAAATCAATAAAAATATAAAAAGAGAATACATACCTCTTGATTAAAAAAGTTTTTCCTCTTAATCCTCCCAAATTAGCCTCCAAATTAGCTTCCTAAATTTGATCTAATCCACAAATCGTTGTTTTGTTGAGTTTAGGAGAGTGAAAATATGAGAATAAGAGAGAGATTGTGAGTGAAAATGAGTTTGAGAGAGTGTGAGAATGAAATGAATTGAAAGAGGGGAGAGGAAAGGGTATAAAAATCCTTTAGGTTGCCTCCAAGAGTAAATTGACCGTTTGAAACCTGATATAAGTTGGTAATGATCGGTTTCGACCGTTACTGCTTGATACAGTCCTATATCACCTAAAACAGGGTCAAAATTTTGGTATTGTCCGGTAGCAGGTGGTTCGTGTGCCGAGAGGCTTTCGGATCGACATGTACCACCCATATTGGGCGGTACACATCGAGATTAAAAACCTTGCTTCACCCTATAAGAGAACAGACTCTGACAGTCATAGAATTGCAATTCAAGATTGTTATATTAGTTAAAGTTTTACTCCGATTATTGAACTTTAAGGATCCAATTAAGTATCTATATATATTTATTGTTCTTCAAACTTAAGAAATTCCAGTGTGTCCATCAAGTTTCCTGTACAATGTTCTTTTGAGATCTAGATGAAGTCATCTTTTCTAGTCTTCTTTGTTTCTTTCTTAGTTCTAGTGCAATCAAATTCTCATAAACAAGCTCTAACCCTGATCTGCTTGGGTAGCTTTTTTTTTTCAGGTTGTAATAATTTCTTTTTAACATATTGCTTTTAGGATGACCTTTTGGAGCTGCAAGACACAGATCTGGCTTCTAAAATGGAAGAACAACAAAAACGAGCTATAGAATTTTGGGAAAAACACTGGGTAAGGTTTTATTCAGTTTTTTGTGAACCTTAGCTTCACCTAACGTTAGTCATGGTTGACATAAATTAGCACTCAGCGGCCCCTTTAAAGATAAAACGCCTTGCTTGTGATGCTGAAAGATTTCTTTGGGCATTGAGTATTGTTCAGTCACGTGCTGTTAACATGCAAATCAGGGTTGGAGCTCTTGTACAAGATGCAAACATGCTTGTTCCTTATGCTGGTAAGTGTAAAGCACCAAACCAGTAGTTCAGAGTTTCTGCAATCATGTAATATATTCGTGATATTTACATGTCATATTATTAGTATGTGGAGACTGCAGTCAGTAGGTCAGAAACTGTCAGTCCAGTCCCATTTTATTTGCCAATAAATTCAACAGGGACAACTGCTCAGTTAGATTTGGTTGACAACTTAAAATCACAATCTCTTGCGTTGTTCACAAATATCATCCTTTTCACTTGAACATTCAATAAACCTCCAGTTCTGGAACTCTACTTTTCATCTATTGATTTCATTTCGGCCACAGTTTTCAGCTTTTGTTGATAGAAGTATTTCATTGGATGTCTAGGAGCATGTTAAACATATTTATTATGCAGATATGTTGAACCATTCCTTTCAGCCCAACTGTTTTCTGCATTGGCGTTTCAAGGATCGCATGCTTGAAGTGATGATTAATGCTGGACAGCGCATTAAGAAGGGAGAGGAGGTAGGCTTAACATTTGTAACATTTAGTAACTACTTGTAACTGTTAGCACAATGCTTATTTATCTGTGGTGAAATGCTTGAGTCTTTTCAAGGTAGCTATGTCCTTGAATAGTTGAATTATGTAAAATCCATGCATTAAAGGGCATTTTGTGTCTACCATGCAAGTATGTCCGTTAGATCTTTTCACACTTTCTTTAGCAACAAAACCAATGACCTTGTTACTTTAGTCACCTAATTGGTTTCTAAATAGGAGTGTTGGATGGATGCAAATTTTTCACAATGATAAGGTTGATCTTGGAGACAAGGTTTAGAATCCTGAGGTGTCTCAAGCAAGGATTAAAATCTCAATTTGGTATTGATATCAGTATGCATCTGTATATCGATACTGGTTGAATAGATCGGTTCCGGTTGGACCAATTTTGGTCCAATTATTTGTCTACAAAAACTTTGTTTTTTCTTGAGTTTGAGTTAATAAGAGATCAAAATATGTCTGTACTATCTATTGCAAACCATATATGAAGAAGCATGCACAAAATTTTTTCAAGATATGATAGGCATTTAAATGTTCTACCTTATGAATGGCCTACTATTACCAAAAGGATCACTTTGATTCAATGGAAAATTTCTGGTCCTCAATATTACTCATTTGCGATTAAGATTATAATTTTGAAGAACTGATGCGTGAAACTGCTTCCATCACATCTGATATCGATATTGTTTGTGCCACTAATAAAGCAATAGCAATAATAGTTGTAGCCTTATTGTCATTAATTATAACTGCGGAAGTAGGCAGCTGGGGCAAGTATGGCTATGGCAAATATGACTATATTGGCATTGAGTTGTAAGACTGCAAGTGCCATTATTATAATGGCATTGTGAGCCATATGAAGCACAGGCTTTGAGGAAAATGATTAATTATTGTTATATAATATTGGCCACGAGATTCGTGCTGTAAGAAAGATTGTGGCTGTAAGAATCTTTTATCTGATTTGTCGTAATATAAGTAGTCTCTCATCTTAAAATATCAATTGCTTTTCCTTTGTTCTTGTCTTTTTTGCTATATATAAATTGGGTGGATTGGCACACATCATGATTGTTATTTTAGCCTTTTAGGTGGCATGAGTGAGATATTGTTCCTTGGTTTACAAGCACTTCTTTGTATTTGCATAGTTGACATAGGTCTCCTAGCCCTGTTCGCCAGTGGTAGATGTAAAACTATCCACCTCATTATCATCTTCACGAACCTTACAAGAACATAAATTTGATGAAGATGTCTCATTATTTGAATCAATTTATTGCTCATTTATGGCATCCAATGGATCAACCGATTGCAATAGAGGATCTTTCTTCTTGACTTGCTGACTGGATGATTGAGACTGATGCCCTGTGCCACAACCCTTGGGCAAACCCATGGGCAATAGATAACTAAGCAAACCAATTGATCTAGAGATACATGAATATCAATGGCAAAGTTGGGATCCTGATTAACAGCCCTGATCCTTATCATGGATGGACAACTCGAATCCTTGCCCAGTGAAGTCTTCTCTCTGGGCTTTCTGCTGCAACTTTAGGGTCTTTGAGCATACAATTTGGTTGTCAAAGCTTGCTTGGTTTCTTGAGTTACCTTAGTGCATTTGACTATGTTGGAAAGCCCACCTTATTAAATGCTACTTCAGTCAGATTATTGCTTCAACCCAATCAGTTTAGTCACAATACATGCATTGTTTCAGTCCAGATGGGTATGCTGCCACACTGGATGTATATTTTGCTACTTTGGTGTTATTTTCTTGCAAATATTAACAAATTGATTTAGATGCACAATTATCAAATTTATGCTTGATGTTGAAATACGGTCTGTTAGTTCTATGCATAACCAATATTATTTCAATAAGTAGATTTTCCCTTCATTTGCATAAATCATGGTCAAATTCGTACAAATCTAGCTTAGATCAGTGGATATAGCCTAGATCATCTCAGTCGGGTTTGAATGGATCTCAGCTGGATACATCTTGGTCAAATTCATGCAAATCTTCATTGGACATGGCATATATTTACATAGACCCAGCTAGATTTGCATAGACCCAGTATCATTACAGCAAGAAATTAGGAGAGGGAAATGCATACATTTAAAAGTAAAGCAACAATCTAATCATGAAATCATGACCTGAATATGGACATTTTGAGGTTGACCTTGGTTTGGAGATAATGTGGATGCTTTCTTAAGTTTAATTCTTGTTTTGCTAGAAAACAAATTCAGATATTAGGAAGATAGAGATTTGAAAGTGAGTTTGAGAAGAATTGATAGAGTGATAGTTTAGAGCGAAAAAGAGGAGTGATAGAGAGTTGGGATGGTGATGAAAAAGGGTGGTATCGGTCTGGTAACAGGGCAACATGCTTACTGCCTGATGAGCTTGTCTGTGCTGACTACTTATAGCCTGGTATGCATGGCATGGTAAGGGTTCTGGAAGTACAACCCATCAAGGATTGAAATATCGTATCGTACCGGAGTTTCGACCTTCTCTCAGTACGGTACGGTACTGTATACCGAACGATATACCATTCGGTATATATATATTAATATATATATATATATATATATATATACATACACACATA